AGGGGAGGTGCTGAGGGAGGAGCCCCGGGAGAGCCGCAGGCCGCCCCACCCCCACCGCAGCGAGAGGGGAGGGGCTGGCACCGAGGGGCCTCACCCTCCAGGCGCAGGGTCAGCGCCACGCTCTCGTCCTCGATGCCGTTGATGAGCTCGCAGCGGTACCGGCCCTCGTCCTCCAGGAGCACGCCCGCGATGACCAGGGAGGCGTCCAGCCGGTGCGCCCTCCGCATCCTGGCTCGGCCCCCCAGAGCCCCGTAGCCCCGGGCGTGCAGTCCGTTGGTGATCAGGATCGACGTTTCCCGGAGCTCCCCTGGCTCCACTTTGCTCCAGCGCACCTTGTAGCTGGGAGGCAGGGTGCCCAGGACGCAGGGCAGCGTGGTTGTGGCGCCACGACGAGAGTGAATGACCTCGTGGATGGGGGGCAGGAGGTAGTGGGGGCCCCGGTAGGATGCTGAGCAGAGGGGGCCACAGTGGCAGGAACCCCCTGGCCCCCCACTGCCCCAAGTGCCCATCCAGACCCTGTTCCCCAGGCCGCGCCATCCTCTCCTCCGCTGCCCACTCAGCAATAACTCTCACTCCCTGGGTACCTCCAACAGCTGCCTTTTCTACTTTCCCCACACCTGGAACTTCTCCCCCACTGTATCCTAGATTGTGGGCAGGAACTGAGGTCTTACCTGGGTCTCCCAGGGCTTTGTGGAGGGTGGTGAAGGCCCACGGGAGAAGGAAGTGACAGAGCGTGGGGAAACTGAGCCAGCCTTGCATGATGGGGAGTCAGCCTAGCTGGGTCTACAAGGCACAGAGGGTGGACCATTCTTTAGGGCTAAAGGAATGGGGGCAGGGTGGGGAAAACAGGGTTTGAGGTTAACTCCCGGCAGGGATTTCTCAGAGGGACTGTCTGGCTGGAAGCCATGGGGGCAGAAAAAGGGGCTTATATTCATGGCAAAAGGAAGGTGGTGGGCGAGGGGGTCAGTAGCAACCACACTCCCACCCCTGCCCATCCTTCCTCTCTCTCATCCCTTTTGGCAGCAAATTCTCTACCTATCTCCTCATCATAAGCACCACTTCCAAGTCTTGCCATCTGGATTGCCAGCTCCAGTCTCTAGCCTCTACCAACACTCATTCCCATCTGAAGCCAGAGTAAATATGATCTGGTCACTCTCCTGCTTAAAACTGCCTCTCTGTTGCCCTGAGAATAAAATCCAGTCGCCTCACCACAGCTTCTAAGGCTCTGTGATCCAGCCTCTCCCTGCCCTTCACCACCTGCCCTCTGTGCTATGCCCCACACGTTTGGACTTCTGGTTCAAACAGTCCAAGTTCACTCTCACCTCCTCACAGACATCAGTTTGGGCCTTGCCTTTTTTGGGAAGGCTCCCCCCCCTCCCCCCAGTTCACCACACTGCGGTGCACTGTGATCCACTTGTCTGGTTCCCCTACTGCACTGAGTTGAGGATTTTTTTCCCCTTAGAAGTATTTTTATTAGCAGCTAAATCAACAGTGTGAATTTGAAAGTTATACATATGCAAATGTAGTAAGGTTTTCAGTAATTATAAAGTATAAAAATTATAGCTATAAAAAAGATTTCAAACACAGTTGTCTATTTCAGTAGTTATTTTCTCCTTTATTGTATCTATTCTTCATCACCTTGATAATTTTTTAAAACTGAGGACCCCTTAACCTAGTTTTATTCATTTTTAAGATCTGATCCCTCCACTTCCTAACTGCATGACTTTGAACAAGGCACTTAACCTCTCTCTGCCTCAGTGAGGACATGGAGTAAGATATGGATAACAGCGCACGCCTCCCTTACTGAGTAGTTGTGAGGATTTGATGAAAATAATATATGCAAACTGCTTAAAATAGTGCCTGATATGTAGTAAGCGGTAGGTATATGTTTGCTCATTTCTGCAGCTCCCAGCATAGTTTCTGGCATACAGTAGGTACTAAGTTAATATGTGTTTGTGTGTTAATGAATGAGCTCAGATTAAGGCCTTCTGGGAAGGAGAGCTGGGACAAGGTGAGGGAGGAAACACTGAGGAGGAGTCAGAAAGCTTAGGAGCTGAGCATCTTTCTGCAAATGAAGGCCAAAGACGACCTTGCAGAAGGAGAAATGGGGGTTAAGCACAGAAAGGACTTCCCAGTGGCTAAAAGGGAAAGTATTTGGGACAGGGACATGAGCAAGAGAACCACTTCTGTACAGGAGAACGTGGTAAGCAGAGCCATAGTGGGAACTGAGACCGACTGAGAGGCCAATAGTAATGGCATTAACCAGTTTAATGTGCCCAAAATGGCTCTAAGCACTTTACATGTATACTTTTATATTTACACCTCTCAGCAATCCTACAAGGTAGGAACGATTATTGAATCCCATTTTATATACTCAAACAAAGGTGCATGCATTTTAGTAAACTTGAGTGAGGTAAACAGCTTGTAGGGAGGAGTTTTCTGGGATTGAATCCGGGTCTGACTGAGGCTTAAGCTCTTAATCACAGATCTATATTTCTGTATTTCAAAGCAAGGGCACACACATCTTCTTTATACTCCTTACAGAGAATAGAGAGGGGCCAACAACAGCTCCAGGGCCTACCTGTTAGAAGCTGGTCTCTTCACAGAGATGGAGGGAGCAGTGATTGGCAGCTTTTTGTCCTGCTGGAGGAAAGGTTCCAGGTGAAGGAGTTGCCTGGGCCACTGGGAGGTCCAAGCACCTCAGAGCCCTGGACTTGGGCACCTGGTCAGTGCAGTCGCTCCTTTTGCACCTTTGAGGAAAGGCTTCTGCCCTGAGCTCACAGAAGAAGCCAAGGAGCCAAGAACTCCATTACCCATTACTCCACTAAGCTAGGCTAAGTGACCCGTGTCCAGCCCTGTGACCAGGCACTGTATCTGCGGTGCTCACTGTCCTGGGCCCAGGGGAAGATGCTGGGCTTGGGATATGGGGCAGGGACCCACTAAGGGGTATGGAGTAAAGGAGGCAACCAGGAATGGTCACCTGGATGACTGCAGAGAGTGAGGTGCCCCGTTTCATCTAGATGCTCTTGCACCAGAGAAGGGTATTGATTGGTGGGTATGAGGATGTTGAACCAATGGGCATGGCATGGGCATGAGACTCAAAGATCCATAGCTGTCAAATTCAGATGCCTCCATTTTTCCATATGGGCCTCATCTGCAGGCTGAGCTGTGGGCCAACAATCTTGGCTTTCTGGGCTCTGACTCCATAATAGGCCAGAACTTAGAAGACCCAGAAGAGCAGTGGGGGAATGGAGCACCCCTCCCCTCCTCCTTTCCCAACAAAATCCTCACCTCTGCTCTCCGGTGCCTGGGTGCTCATCGCCTATGGAAGAGGCTCTCGAGGTGGGAGCCAGACTTTCAGGACCTCCAGCTGCTTCGAGAAACCTGACCCCTTCTGTCCAGCCCCCGCATCTGTCCATCCGTCTATCCTTTCCTTCTCTGTCCCCACCCCATCAGAAGCACAATTTTCCATTGTCCCCATCTTTCCCCCATTGTTGAACAACAGGGGCCCTTTCTTTATCCTGTGGGCAATGGCAACAAAATGTCAACAGCTGGGGATGTGGGATGCAGGACTGGCTGGCACACACCACCGGAAAAAGGGTCTGGGTGGGGGTGGGCTTAGAACAGGAACTGACACCCCCAAGGAGGACAGAATGGGATGGGGGGAGAGAACGGTCAGTGAGCAGGTTGAAATGGAGTCTCCCTCAATACTGTAAGCTTCGAGGCTTTAGAGATCTTATGTGAGGCTGGGCTCCATAGAGGCCAGAGTGAGTGCTTAGAATTGCAATAGGGGAGATGGAAATTAAACAGCAAGGAGGATTTTTCTGTCTCCAGGAAGGAACATGACACGGGAATTCCTGAGGATGGAAGGGTTTGGGGAAGCTCTCCAAGAGCCAGGTCATATTCTTTTTTTTCCTTGCCTCCTCCCTCAGCACAGGTGCATAATTTTAAAGTTCTCACCAGAAGGGAGATCCTTAACTTACCTGGGTAGAAATTCACTTCTCTAAAGTCTCTTGTTCGGAAGTTTTTTCTGAAGTCTAAACTCATTTTGGAGTTCAAGCTCATTTTAAAAACCTTTCTGTTGAGGTATAATTTACAGCAACAAAATGCACAGCTCAATTAATTTTGACATGAGCACGCACCATGTAATTATGCACCCCCCCGACCCCCCATCAAGACATAGAAGCTTTCCAACACCCAGAGTGAGCAAGCACACTTCTTTTTTGTTTGCTAGCAATGCAGAGGGAGGACTCCCTCCATAAATAGCCATTTAGAAATGTTCTGAGCTTCGAATTGCCTCTTAGCCTTCTTTTACCTCCGCTGAGCAACCACACACCAGTAGTTTAGTGCTTTTAGAATCATCCACGTTCAGAACCGAGGGAACCTCAGGGTGCTTAGCCTCCTCGGTTATCAGAGGAAGAGGAGATGGAAGGGAAAGGGACTTGTCCAAGACCCTGCAGAAGGCAGCTGTTGAGTCAAACCGAGAACTTGCCGATTTTTTCCATGATCCATCTCCCACTCCTCTTCTTGACTCTCCAGGGTTTTCCCTGGGGCCAGATCTAATAACAGGAGCTCTCCCATGGCACTCCTGGGGGCTTGATTGACTGTCTGCTCCATCCTGTTTCTAAGCCCTTCCCTCCTCCCAGAGAGACAAACAAACGAGACAAATAACCCCCTGTCTCCCGGGCCAGGACACCCTGATCCCGCGCATCTGATTGGCTCCCACCCAACTCAAACAAACAGCCTCCCGAGGGAGGGGGGCACAAGGAAAGGCCCCGCAGCCAGCCGCCGCCACCCCCCCAGGCCATGCCTCACCCAGCGCTCCTTCCTCCCCAGATCACTTCTCAACTGTGGCTTGGAATCTCTGGTCTCTAAATCCACAAAAGGCTGAGTTTGGCGTGGGGGAAAACCTCGAACTATTTGATAGATGCCAAAAGAACCGTTTGAGGGTAGAGTGAGAAAGGAAGAGATCAGTAATAAACACAGCAGATAGACAAGCTGTGTTTAGTTTGCTCAGTGACACTTTCATTCTGAGTTTTCCCCAAGACACTGCAAAAGAGGAATCTGCTCAGGCTTGAGTTGCCACCTTTTCATTGAATTAGCATCTTTCAAAGAGAAACTTTTGCCACTTATGGTACCTCTTGACCAGGGTGAGGTGGAATCATCTAGAACAAGCATGGGGTCCTGACACCTCTTTCCCTCACATCGCAGGCTCAGCTTACACCCTCCAGGCACATTTGGCTGACTCATTTTCTTGACCCCTGCTGACAGCACGATCCCAGTTTATTGCTGGGATTGTCACATGAAGGACTAGAAGAGTTGGCAAAATGGCACTTTAGGGGAAAGATCGGGGAGGGACTAGGTGTGACTATACACCCAGCTGCCTCCACCACCACCCTGCCTCCCTGCAGAGCTCTCTGGAGGTGCTGTGGGCAGCTTCACCTCCTCCTCTGCCGGCCCTGCCTTTCTCCTCCCTGGGGTCCCCCAGGCCGCCCTCTTCCTTCCTTCAGGTGTCTTGTGGGGCTGGATCCTGGCTGCACTGCAGGACAATGGGGGGGGGGGGGTCCAGGGAATCAGCCTTGAGGAAAGACATGCTTTTGACTCAGGGGACCTCTCTGCACCCTGAACAGCCTTTGTCCTGTGGATAGAGCCAAAGGTGGGAAGGAAGTGGGAGATGAGGTCCGTGCCCTTCGGGAGGCTGCCAACCTGAGGCATGGGGCACGAGGCCATGTGGGCTATGGGAGCAACACTGGACCATGATTCAGGAATCCTGTTCCAGCCATATGCTAACCTCATATGAGATTCAAGAGCAAACTCCTGGAGCTTCAGGCTCTGTATCAAACAGGCACATCTGCCCCAAAGGACTGGCCAGTGTGAGGACAGTGGAACGGAATTCTACCAAGTGAAAAGCACACAGTGAATTAGGTTCATTGTTCTGTGGTTGGTTCAAGTTGAAACAAGGCTAGAGTGGGGGAGAACAGGGTGGGGAAAAGATGGGACCCATTGAACTCACTCACTCATCCTTGCANAGTGGGGGAGAACAGGGTGGGGAAAAGATGGGACCCATTGAACTCACTCATCCTTGCGNGAATTCTACCAAGTGAAAAGCACACAGTGAATTAGGTTCATTGTTCTGTGGTTGGTTCAAGTTGAAACAAGGCTAGAGTGGGGGAGAACAGGGTGGGGAAAAGATGGGACCCATTGAACTCACTCACTCATCCTTGCACTAGCCACATCCTCTAAAAACAGGTGGGCCCATCTGTGCAGTGAGGGTAAGCAGTGGCGTGTCCCCAAAGTCTGAGGTGGCAGCACAGGGGACGAGGGAAAGGGGAATAAGGAAGGAAGGGGGCAGGGGAAGCAAAAAGTGGTAGAGGGCCAGAGATCTTTTCCCCTTACTCTCTGTATTTCCATGTCTAGGGAGGGCGTGAGGCTGTCTCACTTAATTATTTTTATTTATTTATAACAAAAGTAATACATACACATAATGAAAAAGACTTCAACCACTACTAAAGGGGTAAAACAAAAAGCCAAGTCCTTCTTTCCTTCCTTCCTTCTCGCTTCCCCTGAACAATTAAACCTCTTCTGTGTCTGTCAGAAGTTTTTAAGACTCTATGAGAATGCAGATAAATAGAAACATCCATGATGCATATATTCTTTTAAAATTGATTTTAGATAGAGAGGAAGGGGGGAAAGAGAGAGAAACATTGATTTGTTGTTTCACTTACCTATGCTTTTAATGGTTGATCCTTGTATGTATGTGCCCTGACCAGGGATGGAACCTGCAACCTTGGCGTATTGGGATGATGCTCTAATTAACCAAGCCATCCAGCCAGGGCCTTTATGTTGTTTTTGAATTGAATTGAAGTCATATTATACAAACTGTTCCCTACCTTGCTTTTTTTACCTAATAATACGTTGTGAGCGTCTGTCCTATCAGCACATGGCATAAAGCTTCCTCACTCTTTTTTCTGTCTGCACAGTATTCCAGTGGGTGGCTGTAGCATACTTTAGTTAATGAGATGCCTACTGATGAACGTTTAGGTTGCTAGAGGTTGGGACAATTAATTAATCACCTGGGAATGAGTCCATAACTCATTCCTTAAACTAAAAAAATTTCAGGAAGCTCAAAGATTTAAACGTGAGAATAAGTTGCTCATTTTTCCTGAGAATAAGTTGCTCATTTTTGCCCCCATGCATACAGGAGGTATACATTCTATTAAAATTCTGTGTGTGTTTTTAATTAAGCCAGGATGAATTATAGAATAATGATTTTTTTTAATTAGAAGGCACATTTTATTGCTTTTTTAAGTGATTACACAATGATACACTTAATTGTAGACAATTTAACAAACAAAATCATTTTTAAAAATGAAAATCCCCTTTAATCCTACCAAACATAGAAAATAACTTTTAACGCTTTGTTGCCTATGCGCCTAAACTTTCAAGATATTACGTGTGTGAATTTTTTGTCGATTTCAATAACATGCAATACATGACATCGCCACCAGGTGGCGGGAGAGACTGCATTACCGCTCAGATGGGCTCTGCAGAGCTCGGGCTCCGCTCGGACCTGGCGCCCTGTGGCTCATCGCGAGTCTAAGGCGGAGTACGTTCGGAGGTGAAAATGCTGCGGTAGAGAGCTTGCAACTCTGGGGGTGTCCTTCAAACTCTCGCTTTTCATGGGTTCTGCTAAACTGTAGTTGGGAGGGAGGTAGCCCCAATTTCTCAAAGCAGTTTTCTCCGTAACTGTAGCAGCAGTGCCAAGAAAAAGACTAGGATGCCTTGCTGTTTTTAGTTCCAGCGGGTCTCTTTCCCACCTCTACTCTCACTAGTATTGGTGTGTGTTTTTTTGTTTTTTTTTTTAATTTATTTTATCGATTTGAGAGAGAGAGAAACACTGATTCGTTGTTCCACTTATTTATGCATTCACTGAGTGATTCTTGACCCCGGATCAAACCGGTAAGTAACCATGGCATATCAGGACAACCTAGCCAACAGAGCTACCTGGCCAGGGCCAGAGTATTGGTGTCTTTTATACTGCCCGGTTCAGAAAATTTTCCACAACATTTTTACTGATGTATCTGAAAATATCATATTTTTTTAAAAAGCAAAGCAAATGGATGTATGTGTCTGCTACCTTAAAACCAGCCTGCAATCCTCTGGGAGGATTTTTTTTTTTTTTTTAATGTTTTTTATAGATTTCAGAGGGAGAGACAGAAACATCAATGATGAGAGAGTCATTGGTCAGCTGTCCCCTGCATACCCCCCACAGGGGATGAAGCCTGCAACTTGGGCATGTGCCCTGATGGGGAATCTAACCATGACCCCCTGGTTCATAGGTGGATGCTCAACCACTGAGCCACACCAGCTGGGCTCTAGGAGGATTTTAGAGGTGGCAGCAAGCACTGAAAAGAAAGAGGACTCCTGTTATGCCCCACCCCCACCCCCACTGTTCATCTCCCCCAGCACACTGGGGTGTTCAAGCCCCTTCAAAGAAGCAGACACTGAGGCCAGGGAAAGGAAAAGAAGAACTAGAAGGACAGTGATGCAGGGCTCAGAGACGACTCTTGACCCCAACTGCAGAGAATGATGCTACCAAGGGGCAGATGGCAAAGGGGCTTCAAAGAGAAATAAATGTTTGTTAAGCAAAATCCACACTGGATTGCATCAAAGGCAGCCTGTGGCTGAGATCACAGTATTCTCATTCTATTGCCTTTTTCTGTGCTGTCTGGTTCTCAGTTTACTAACCTACAAATAGGGATAACTACATATAACACAGGACTCTGGTGAGAATAAAATATAATAATACTTGTGAATATGATATTTGAAACTGTAAACCACCGTTTTAAATAAAAACTACCATTTTAAAATAGTAAATCACTGCACACAAGGGAGTGGGGGTGGATGCCGGGTGGAGGGGATCACTGGGGGGAAGGGGAGACATCTGTAATACTTCCAACAATAAAAAAAAATCAGTGTACACAAGGTATGGTAATATTTTTATTATCATGAACTCAAATGATTAATGAAGTAGGAAAATTAGAAACTGCCTAAACCAAGGATTAGGAAATAATATGAGCCTTAGAAAAACCCTGTAAGACACAGGTGCACCTTTTTTTTTCCTCAACAGAAAGAAAAATAACATTCTATCACAGCAATTTTCAACAGTGTGCCACAAGAATTTTTAAAACATGCAATACCTGACTAGTCAAGGGCACTGACCTCTTTTCCCTTAGATTGTCAAATAAAAAACTGACAACAGCCAACACAATAGTCATCTGGTGTGAATGAATCAAGATTATACTTATTTTTTAAATCAGATTAGCAAAAAAGCATATTTTGAGGGGTACTGCAGAATTTTAGTAATTAGCTTATGTGTGCCATGAGACGAAAAAGATGCCTTGGTCCCTCAGGCACTGCAGATGGGCAGCCAGGGGCACACCTCCAGTACCTCCGGAAATGGACACGCTCTGCGGCCCAGTTTCTATAGCAACCATAACAGCCCACCCCATGCTGTTTCTCTTGGGAGGACCAAGATTTGGTTCCTGGATTCGTCTCTATGGTTTGGACAGCCTAGAAGGACCAAAACGACACTTCCGGGAAGGTGGCGGCTCCCGAGTCAGATCTGGCACATGTTTCCGCCCAGAGCCTCCCGCAGTGACGGTAAGGGGCTGCTGTCTCCTGAGTGGTGGCAGTTGGAGCCTGGGCTCAGGAGAGTAGTTTTACCCAAGTAAAACTGCGGCGCGGGAGGGCTGGAATTTAGACCTCAGAAGGAAGGAGGCCTAGGGAGAAGGCAGCCGGCTCTTTTGACCCGCTGTAAAAAGAGCCGCTTCTCCTGGAAACTCAGGTTGGCTGGAGGGGAGACAGTTCTGAAAGTGTGCTCGCAGCCTTCACAGAGATTGCGGCGCACAGCCTGGGACCTACTTGCTTTGGTCCACAGGTATCCATTGTAAGTCCGTCACAGAAATTCCCACCTAAGCCGTTCAGTTCAACAAATGACGACTGAACGCATTCGCGATTCCTGGCGCTGCACGAAGTGCGCTGAGGTCAGGGAATAAAGCCCGTCTCCGACTCCAGGGCGCATTGTTTCGAATTTCTGCGACAAGAGACCAGGCTGTGGGAAGACGTACAGCAGAAAGCTCAAAGAGCGGTAAGAAACCAAGGAATGTGATTAACGCCAACTCTGGAATACCTGAGATCCTGGATCTACTACCTGCTACTTATTTGATTTGGGCAATTAATTAAACCTCTCAGTGCAGTTCCTTCGTTTGGGAGGATTAAATGAGAAATCTGTGTTAAGCAATCAGCAACAGGCTGTCATTGAGTAAATGCATAAGTATTATTATTCCTACTGAAATCTGGGGGCTGATGGATCAGAAATAACTTCTGAGAAGAGGCAGAGTTTTGAGGTGGCCTTAAAAGACCTCACTGTTTGAATTTTCTCTTTAGCAGTATCAAAAAGCAAGATAGGGCCATTTCCTTACTCAATGCTTTTCTGTTGGGACTGTCAAGGCATCAACTAGGTTTACAGGTAATTGTCCTTAACAGTAGAAATGTGAGTCATTCTGAATTTGCTATTCTTCAAACCTAACCAGACTGGTCATCATACTTAAGCCTAATATATAATGTTTAGGAGGGTGACTTAATGATATATCTCATTTTTTTAAAGCATCCTTACTAGACCTTCCTAAACTCACATGAAAGTTTTTTGGTTTTGTTTTTTAATATATCTTTATTGATTTCAGAGAGAAGAAAGGAGAGGGAGAGAGAGAGATAGAAACATCAATGATGAGAGAGTCATTGATTGGCTGCCTTCTGCAGGCCCCCGACTGGGGATTGAGCCCGCAACCCGGACATGTGCCCTGACTGGGAATTGAACCCTGATCGCCTGGATCCTAGGTCTACGCTCAACCGCTGAGCCACACCCGGCCGGGCTCACATGAAAGTTTTATCTTCAGAGCTGTCACTTTGGGGGGCTACAGGATTACTCCAGTAGTGCCACTGATCAGCTTTAAAAATAGTCTGCAGCACCTGTAGTAAATGATCTATACAAGTTAACTAGTGAGTCAAGTCAGCAGTGGTAGTCTTAGTATTGAATGTCTTGTGTGATAAGCCGTCTTAACCATTTCAGAGGCAAATTTGGTATATAAGTTCAGTGCCATTTTGGCTGGTGTGACTCAGTTGGTTGAGCATCATCCTATGCACTGAAAGGTTGCTGATTCGATTCCTGGTCAGGGCACATACCCAGGTTGTGGGCTCAATCCCCAGTTGGGGTATGTGCAGGAGGCGGCTGATTGGTGTTTCTCTCTCACATCAATTTTTTTTTCTCTCTCTCCCCTTCTCCCTTCCTCTCTCTAAAGTCAATAAAAACATATTTAAAAAAAGAAAACATTATAATAAAAAAACGCAATTAGTTGGGGATGTGATAGAAAGAGGACCACTTTAGAGTCAGGCAACTTGGGCTCATATCCCAGCTCCATGTCTCTTATTAGCTGTGTAACCCTAGGCAAGAAACATAGGTTTTATTTTCCTCATTTGTAAAGTAACGATAATACCTAGTAGGAGTGTTAGTATTAAGTGAAACATAGTATGTGTAATCCACCTGTTGTGCATTAAGTGCTCAATAAGAGTGCCCTTCCTAAACTGTACAATTTCAAGAGGGGTGTTTCAACAAGATCGAAAGACTAGCTGTGGGGAAGAGGTGTGTAGCCCCCACACTGAGAGGAGTGTAAATGCTAGTGCATGGGTATAGGATATGGGCTCTATTAAGTACTGTTATAACTCAGGTTAACAAGCATCTCATTGCTTTGTTTTTACATGGTAGTAAACCACGGGACATGTTTTGGACTCTGCACACAAGCTTTCTGGGTTTGAGTTCTACACACATTAGCTGTGTGACCTTGGGGAAGTCATCTAATCTCTTTAGGCTTCAGTTTTCTCATTTGTAAAATAGGGATAATCATGTTTTCCTGAATGTAAAGTTCAGGAAATCTTCCTAGGCTGGGAAGATTAAATGACATACTCTGCGTAAGGCCTTAGCATAGCCTGGCATGTGGTGAGTTCTCTGTAAGTGTAGGTATTATTAACTTCTGACATGTTGACATTGACCTCTCTATGGTTAGACAGGGAGCTCCCCAAGGACCAGGCCTCCTTCCACTGTCTTGCCTCAGTTTCAGGAAAGAATTCTTATAAGAGCAATAAGGATGGATTTGATGTATGATTTGGCACTCTCTCCTTTCCTCTTAAGGAATGGTAAGTGACTTCTTCTCTGGTGAGGACCTGAGGACAGTGACCCTTTTCTCACCATGAAGGACACCCCGGAGGTCAAGAGTCATGGGATGAAGTTTGCCGAGGAGCAGCTGCTAAAGCATGGATGGACTCCAGGTGATCCCCAATTCCCTGCCTACCTTCTGCCCAGGGGAGGTGCATCACCCTGGATTACCCCTATGTAGTCCACTCTATTGGACGAGGAAAAGCTAGCTTAAAGGGAAATTTACAGAAGAAAATTTCTGACTTTTCCAGAAAAGGGGAGAAGAGGAAGAAATTTGACAATGGATAGTAAGAAAGAAGTGGTTGGGAGGACTGGGACAGAGGGGAAGAAACATGGTACCTGTCCTGAAAGAATTATGAAGGAAAAGAGCTTGACCTCAGATAAAGGCAGGGGGACTGCATGGAGAGGTGCTAGAAAGAATGGAACTCGGAGGGCTTCTGAGAGGACAGTTTGCCCAGTGCTAGGTGTATGGAATGGCAAGGAGGGGCATGTGTTAGGTCACTTGTGGGGGCTTGGGACAGGCAGAGTAAGCTAAATTACTGTCTTCTGCAGGCAAAGGCCTGGGCCGGAAGGAGAATGGCATTACCCAGGCCCTCAGGGTGACACTAAAGCAGGACACTCATGGGGTAAGACTGGGCAAGCTGGGGGAGGTATGGATAGGGAAGAGGGGGAACCCTTGAGGACAGGGAGGCAGGTTCAGGGTTCATACTTCTTCCTCTGGCAGGTGGGACACGACCCTGCCAAGGAGTTCACAGACCACTGGTGGAATGAGCTCTTCAACAAAACTGCAGCCAGCATAGTAGTGGAAACTAGGCAGGTATGAACTGTAATAGATGGGCATGTGAAACATGAGCGCCTGGGACATATGGAGGAGAGGGAGACAGGGTATGTCACCCACTCCCTGATACTTCCCCACAGGATGGAGTACAGATAAAGCACCTTTCTAAGAAGACCACCCGCCATAATCATCCCAAGCCCAACTTGCTGTATCAAAAGTTTGTCAAGGTATTAGAGGCTGGGTGTGAGAGGGTTCATCCTTTCTTCCTTCCCTGGTGTTCCCTGGAGCCTGAACAATTGCCTTGTATGCTCTACATATTCTCAGGATTGTCCTAACAGTAGGGTCTTGTGACCAACCTTGCTGTTGTTTAATTAGACTGCCCAGACCCTGGGCAAGAATTGAGATTTCAGGTTACATGGACCCCCACCATCAGCTGAGGGGGCAGCAACAGAGTGGGAGGTAGGGCATAATTAGGAGCTGTCGGAGTGAGGCAGGGAGGGGGTGACCAATTCAAAAGACTTAGAAATCAGAGACTTGAGAGATTATCTGACCTATCCTCTTTATTTTGCACATGTGGCCAAAGAGGGGGAAAAGGGGCTTACTGAAGAGCCCACAGCTGGCTAGTAATGGCAGACAGGACTAGAACCCAGGTCTTCAGACTCCTGCCTACTAGCAGTTCGGTGCACCTCTCTGTGGGTCTGCAAGGAACAATATCGGGGGCTGGCAAATTTGTACCTGTTGGTCTGAATTCTTGGGGAGGCGTCCAGGAGGGAAGAGGGATAGCAGTGGTATGTTGAGTGGGCCTTGTCCACCTCATGATCCCTCCTTCTAGACTGCCACACTGACTTCAGGTGGGGAGAAGCCAGACAAGGACTTGGAAAGCTGCAGTGATGACGACAACCAGGGGCCCCAGCCTCCAAAAATGTGAGACTTCATTTTAGTGCTGGGGGTAGGTAGGAAGAGATGCTGCAGATCTTAAGAGAAAGGACCAAGTCTTAAATGCTTGACTGTGGGCTTCTCCAGGGTGGAACTGTGTGGTACTAATCTTTGCATCTCCTGCACCTAGAAAAGTGCCAGGTCCTGAATAGGAACTCAGTGTTGAAGAAATGTTTTAGAGGGGAGGAGAGGTCAGGCTTTTCCACCAGATCTGTAATTCCTGATCTCCCCCCACCCCCACCAGTCTGACTGATGAGATGCTGCTCCAAGCCTGTGAGGGGCGAACAGCACACAAGTAAGTAGTAGTTAGCTCCTGGGTCTCACTTTTCTCCCTATCACAAGCCCACCCCTGAGGATGGCCTATACCACTTCTTGAGTCTTTTTGACCCCAGGGAAATTATTTATTCTACCGCCCATCTCTGAACCTACCAATTTCCCCTACCGTCTCAAAAATTAGGCCTATTTTTCCTGATACTCTCCCTCTGACTTTGGCCCTATTTCAGGGCTGCCCGTCTTGGGATTACGATGAAGGCAAAGCTTGCTCGGTTGGAGGCCCAGGAGCAGGCCTTCCTGGCTCAGCTCAAAGGCCAGGACCCTGGAATCCCTCAGCTGCAGTCTGAGAGCAAGCCCCTCAAAAGAAAGAAAAAGAAAAGGAAGCAGAAAGAGGAGGAAGAGGCTACAGCAACTGAAAGGAATGCAGACAGGGAGTACCCAGAACACACTGACCAGAGCATCAAAAAAAGCAAGAAGAAAAGACATCAAGAAGAAAAGGTCACAGATAAGAGAGAGGGGACCACTGTAGGGGATGAGGAAGAGGCCGCAGGAACAAGAGGGCTTGGGGAACTGAGGAGCAGAGAACAGGCTGATCAGTCTCCCAGGAAAAGGAAGAAAAAGAAGAGGAAGCACCACGAAGAGGAGAAGCTAGGGGTATTAGATAAAGGAGGAGGTAAGGAGGCTGTAGGTGGTGTCAGACCAGAGGAGGGAGAGAGCCGAGCACACACTGATCCACGTAGCAGAAGCAAGAGGCAGCAGGATGGGAAGGAAGACTTGAATATAGAGGGTAATGAACTTGAGGAGGCTGTTGTAGATGGTGGTACCCAGGAAGCAGAAAGCAGAGTATGCAGTGATAGGAAAAGCAGAAGCAAGAAAAGACAGCGGCATCAAGAGGAGGAGGGTGTCTTGGATGTAAGGGATGGACACGAGGATGGCAGGGCTAGGGAAGCGGAGAACAGAGCACACTCTGGCTCAAGCAGCAGAGGTAAGAAGAGGCAGCAGCAAGCAGAGGAGGAAAGAGTCAGAGTCAGCACTGACCAGAGAACAAAAAAGAAGAAATTGAAGAAAAGAGACTGAAGGTCAGGTGAGGGTGGGCTTCGATTGATTTCTTTTCAGGAGTTGAAGCCTCAGAGACCTGAGATGATGTAGGTCTCCTGCACCCTCCCAGTGAGGAGTCCTTCCCAAGGAGGAAACTGAACTCTGAAATACTAGCCTGCTAAGAGGAGAGCAGCAGCACCATGCCTTCGTTGAGGGAGTGGCCATCTTCCCCTTTGCAGCTTCTAACCCAGAGATCATGAATTCAAGTGCCTATAGGAGCCAGGCAGCCAAAAGACAAGGAGTGCCTGGGGCCGTGGGAATAGGAATGCAAAAACCCTTTGAAGAGTCATCCTTGCTAAAAGAAGCTAAAAATGTAGACATGTGATATGTCCTGATTTTTAATTATTGTGAAACTAAGTATAACATACAAATTTAGGTCTATGAACTGGTTCTAATACTGTGCCAAATGAGTCAATAAACATCAGCTTGGGCTCCTGGCTTACATATAAATCCTGACTGGCATCTCCTTTCTCAGCCTGGGAAGGTCCTAAATACAAAATAAGTTTCCTTGGTGTCTTTGAAGAAATTCCTTCTGTTAAATTGGCTGTGGTCTTGCTACATTGTTGACTGGAAGGGGAAAGCTTAGAGAACCTCATCCAGTGTCCTGTGGCCCTAATGGGCAAGAATAACGAGTATGTAAAAGACAAGCACACCTCACGTGGGAGCCTTTTTTAGCATCTGAGTCAATTTTTATTGCCCCCAATGCCACAGCAACCTCTCTTGCTTATTCTGCTTCCCCAGAGATGACGTCATATCTCCATCGTTGCCTGCCACCCATTAACCTTTACTGCCAGAAGAGCTCTCGGCTCTCCACAGTTCTGGGGGAGAGAGGCACTAAGTCTATTGGGAAGAACACCCACACACCTTCCCTCACTGCAGACGATACACACACTCCGTGTCAGGGTATGGTGGCAGATTCAGCTGGTACTTCTTTTCCAGAGCAGGTGGTACGAAACGACCCCCCAGGTAATGGTAGCGACCTGTGAACTGGGTGGCAGACTTTTTGGGTGCAGTCAGGGAGATGAGCAAGTCTGGCTGGATCCCTCCAGAGTTTCCCTTCTCCACGTCCCATCCTGAAAAGAGGGCTGTACTCAGGAAGAGAAGAGGCCAGATGTCCTCTTCTGAACCTTGCTTTACCCTTGTCCTAAAGGAAGGGGAAGCCCCCTGCATCCCCACCAGAGGGATTTGCATCCTGGGAACTCATGTACTGCTGAAGCCAACATGTAAAGGGTGCTCCTGAACTCTCTGCTCCCCGGCTATGTTCTACACCTCTAGACTCATTTTAGACTTGGCTGGAGCCTTGGATCAAGAATCAGGACTCCTAAGTACCTACCTCAAGACAGGGCATGACCCTAATCCCAACCTCCTTGGACCCAGCACCTGAGGGAATGTCGATGCTGGCAATGGGCACAGTGAGTCCATTCAGGACACTCAGGATGCTGCGGAATGGCTCCCGAACATCACCCTTGAAGCTGAAGCCAAAGATGGCGTCCACCACCAGCTCATATAGCTCATCAATCAGCATGGCCTGTGGCAGAGCAGGAAAAGTAAAGGATGTCAGAACAAGCAGCTACACAAAGAGCTCTTAACAGGAGAGGGCTGTCCTCTGCACCCAGAGGCACAAACACAATTTTGTCTCATTCAGATGGCATTCTGAGGCCTAGAGTTAAGTGCAAGTTGGTCCCTGATTCAGGCCAAGCCGCGTCCAGACACCAAGTTCTGCCTGCTTGCCAATAGACTGGGAGTCAGGAGGGCCAGGTTCTGGTCTCAGCTTTGCCACGATCTGGTCTGTGACTGGAAAAACCACTTTCCTTTGCTGCACCTCAGTCTCTTAATCTGTAAAATGTGTTAACTTTTTAAAACTACCAAGCTCTCAGGTTTCTTGCCCCTAAATCCATGCATCTGCAGAAAGGGGTTAGGCACTGACTTCAGCTCCTAAGATAATGTGTTTACTGCATCCTAGGGGAAGAAGAATGACTACAGAGTAAAAGGAGTGACCGGGGAGATGAAGGGGAAAGGAAGCTTTATTTATTTATTTTAAAAATGTTTTTTATTGATTTTGGAGAGGGAAAGAGAAACATGGGTCAGCTGCCTCCTGCATGCCCCCTACTGGGAATTGAGCCTGCAACCCAGGCATGTACCCTGACTGGGAATCGAGCCTCCAACCTTTTGGTGGATGTGAGGACAGCCAACCACCTGAGCCACACCAACCAGGGCAAGGGGAAAGGAAGCTTTAGAGGTAGTATTGAGAACTCACAGAGCACATCTTATGGGGGAGGAGAAGGCTCTTAAAAAAAAAAAAACACTGCTTCTATTCAAATAGCATACTTTAGGCACCTTTTGTGCCAAGCACTATTCCTACCCTCTAAGAGTTTAACATCTAGAGGAAGATAAACAGATGAGCTCAGCCTAGAAACCTGAGGGAAGAGAAGGATACAGTGGTTATTGAGGAGGGCACTGAACTGGAGCCACCTACCTCTGGAGGCATTTCACTAAGGAAAGGGATGTCCATTTTCTGACATTGGGTCACCAGTGCAGTGAAGAGTGGCTTATTGGGTCTTTTGGGGTAATAGATGGTTGGCTGGTAGCCCTACGAGGAAAGGAAAGGGGGCAATTCATGTTCAGATCCTAGAAACCTCACAGCCTCCCCACAGCCTTTCACATACTCACAAAGAGTTTGAGGTGTCGGGCACAGACCAAGCCATCTCCTCCATTATTCCCAGGGCCACAGATGACCAGGACAGTAGGGGGATTCCTGGACAATGACGTGGGAGGATAAGCCTGAGAGTAGAGGCAGAGGGGATTCAGAGCAGCTTTGGACGGTAACAGCCCAAGCGTGGCTCAGCTGGCCCTCCCACTCCATTGTGCATAGGCCAGGGGGCCAGGGAGAGGTGCACCACTGACCTTGGCAATGGCTGTAGCACAGCTCAGCCCAGCCAGCTCCATAAGTTGGTCCACGCTGAACTGGTACTCGTTAAACAGCTCCTGGTCCACGGCCTGAGCCTCCTCCTGGCTGTGCACACCCTCCGTTCAGGGGCTCGGTCGCGAGAGCCGCGCTGCATCCCAAGTCCCGCACAGTAGGGAGCGCCCTCCGACCGCGCGCCCGACCAGAGCCCCGCCTACCTCAAGTACTTCACCACCGCGCTTGCCATGACCTCTGAGTCCCCGCGGCCACCCGAGCTCTGCCGCCGCGGTCCCCACCAGGTGGGTCCCGCACGACAGGCGTTGGCCTGGGACCTGACTCGCGGCAGGCGCGAGCCCGCCACCAGCAGCCCGAACCCGAGCACAGACCACAGCCGGGACATCCGGCTCTCGGTGCGCGCGCCTCCGGCCCGGCCCGCCGCCCTGGCGCACGCGCAGCGCTCTGCCCGCCCCCGACAGGCCGGAAGTGCCTCTCTGCTCCTGGGCTCTTTGCTGTGCGCGCAATTGCTTCAAGTTTACCGTAGCAGTTCGCCCGGGTTCCTGTCACCTAGCTAAGTGAATTTGGACACTCCAGTTTCCTGTCTGTAAAATGGGATAAAAGTACATTTCATAGGGTGGTAATGCATGCAAAGCGTCGACCGGAGCGATGCACAGGGCTCAATAAATTAAGCTAGTGTTCTTGTGTACACTACTAAGCGTTTTGTATAACTTAGGACCCCTTTCCTTACTGCATTAGCTCTCCCTAACTCGGTTTACGACGATAGCACAATGTGCTTCCTAATCATACAGAATACTTACCTCTTTATCAAGATAAGAGTAATAGAAAATAGGTTGAGTGTGCCAGTGTCAAAAATGTTGAAACTATAGACTCCAGGTCATGATAATATTTCAAGAAAAACCTGGAGAGGAAAGTAAAATTTTTTACCTAAGACCTTTTAAGAATGCAAACACACTCTTGCATGGTTAAGGCACTAAGATAACTGTCCTGGTGGAATGAAGGTCGTTTTTAAGCTAGATTTATTCTTTTTCTGTATCATGAATTGCCTCCTGGCTAGTTCACTGTGAAAAGCAAGAACCCCTCCACATTTTAACTTCTCTGATAATCTTTTTAATTATGAGGTTTATCATCTATGGGATGTACCCTTGGACTCCAGCTATGCTTATTTTTACATTAAGTGGTAGATCCAGTGATGGTTGATATTGAATTGGCAATACTCCTGGGTGGCAGATGCTGCTACTTGTCCCTCAAAATCCGTCTTTCTCTTTTGATAACAGAGTCCCTGAGATTTATCAGGCCACATGGCTGCCCATCTAAACACTACATTTTCCCAGCTTCTTGCAGCAGCTAACCATGCACGTGTGACTAAACTCTGACCAATGAGATTTCAGCAGAAATGACATATGTAACTGGTAGGTCATACCCTTGAAAAATAAAGAATGTTTTCTTTCATTAACTCTTTTCTTCTTACTGGCTGGAAGGAAGGTATTCTGCTGGAGCTGGAGCAGCCATTTAGACCATGAGATGTAAAACCCAGGTTGAGGATGGCAGAGCATCTTGCTGGCTCCCCAAGCTCCACAGAGCCACTATATTAGCCCTGGGCTACTTATATGAGACAGGAATAGAGTCCTTTCTGGATAAAGGCACTGTTATGTTGACTTTTGTTATAGTTGGTGAACCTGCATTCTAATGAAGACATGTTGAATGCCTAACAAGATAATATACCCCATTTACATAAGGAAGATTAACAGCTGTGTCCCCAGCACCTACTTCTGTGCCTGGCACATAGTAAGTCCTCTATAAATATATTTTTTAATGTTTTTATTTGTTTCAATATATTTTTACTGATTTCAGAGAGAGGGAGAGAGAGATAGAAACATCAATAATGAGAGAGTCATTGATAGGCTGCCTCCTGCATGCCCCCTACTGGGGATCAAGCCTGCAACCCAGGCATGTGCCCTGACCAGGAATCAAACTGTGACCTCCTGGTTCACAGGTTGACACTCAACCACTGAGTGACACCAGCCAGGGCAACAATAATTTTTGAAGTGACTCACCTTAGGTCAAGTCTTCTAAGGATTCAACTTTATTTTCACAGAAACAGTGCTTGCTTTCACACTCTTGGCTCATTGATTTATATAATATTTAATTAAATTAGAAATTACAATAACACATACAACCAGCATAAATACATTTGGTGTCAAGCACAACCAACTCTTGGTAAACAATGGAACTGCCCAGCATTATAGAAGGGACTCACTGCCTAGGTTAGAATCATGGCCTTTCCACTTACTAGTTGTGTGACCTGGGAATATAAACAACTTAGCTTTTGTGCCCTTTTTTCCTCATTTGTGAAAAGGGATTCACCTTTTGTGATAAAGGAGAAAATATTTGTGAAGCACTTAGAACAATGTGTGGCATATGCCAAGTGATCAAAAAACCTTACTTAATATCATTGTGGCTGCTGGCAGCAGTTGTCCTACAGGGAGGAAGTGGAGTGCATTGGTTGATTAAGCTGTACCTTTTACAGCATAGTCCCATTTCCCCTATGAGAAAATGGAGGTCTGGAGAGTCATTGACTCCAAAGCCTTTTAGCCAAGAAGTTGTAATTTTTAGAACTGGAAAGGACCTTAGTGATCATGAGGTTTGGGTCCAGAAAGAAAAGGGGGAGATTCACATCCATTTTCCTTTTCGATTTTTGCCTGTTGAGTCCAAAACTCCCAGCAAGGAGCAAACAGCCTAAGTGCTGAGATTGCAAAGCCCTTGCCCAGCCTGCTTGGGAGCCCACTTGCTGACTGTGTTATATTCCGTGTCTATACAGCACTGAACAGCTGGGAAGAGGCTCGGTCCCAGAAACCCATCAAGTGTGTATGTTGGGGAGGTACCACTGAGGTCAGCAGGGTGGGGTCACATGATCATGCAGAAGCCAGATGTGGTGGGTCTCTTCTGTGGGTCCCTGCTGGAGGTTTCCCTGGGCTGTTTGAATGACCTGAAGGAGGCAGGGCAGAGCTTGCCAGTGGGAGTGGCCGTGGAAAGAGCAGGGACAGCCTGCTTTGGCTCTAGCTTCTGTTGCCCTCTCTGACCCTTACCTTTGCTGGTGGGCTGCAGAGCAGTAGTGAGCAGACTTAAGCTGCATATCCCCCCATTCAGCGGAACTCTTCCTTTCTCTGAGGTCTACAGTCAGGCCGTGCAGGAGGCAGGGAACATGCCAGGCCTCCTGAGCTGGGTGAAGGCTGTTCAGGTTACTAAAGGGCAAAGACAAAGAGGCTCAGAGCGCCATATATTCCCAAATACCAGACCACAGCTACCCCCAACTTTTTTTTTTTTTTTTTTAATATATCTTTATTGATTTCAGAGAGAGGAAAGGAGAGGGAGAGGGAGAGATAGAAACATCACTGATGAGAGAGTCATTGATCAGCTGCAGCCCGCAACCCGGGCATGTGCCCTGACTGGGAATCGAACCCTGATCTCCTGGATCCTAGGTCGACGCTTAACCACTGAGCCACGCCCGGCTGGGCAGCTACCCCCAACTTTAACAGTGATCATGTTCCATTAAAATTGTCCAAAGTCACGTCCTCTCCAACTCCCTTTATCCATTCTGCAGGTCTCCTTTTCTTCCCCAGGGACCCACCCATTGGCTTGAGAGCATTGAGTACAGAATGCCAGGGCACTCTGTTCTGGGGGAGGCTTGGCTTCCAAATGGGAGATGGGCCCTAGGATGGAGAGGGGCAGACACATTTATTGCAAGCCTCTCTGAACCAAGAACCATCAATGTGGAAAAGAGAATGTTTTAGAAGAACAAAGAGGACGGGCGTCAGGGAATATGTTGGTCACTGTACATGAAAAGGGTGTACCAAGGACTATGGTTTGGGGCAGGTGATTGACAAGCCTGGGCCCTCTAGTGGCCAGATGTGGGAATAACTTGCCAGTGCCTGGAAGGAACCACTGAAAAGAAGGTATCTTTGAATTCAAGTCAACAAATAGCAAGGAACTCTGCTTCTAGAGCTGGAAGCCTTTGAGGCAAGAGACTAGTAAACAGCAAGCTAGGGTAAGAAATGCACCAGGTACCTAGCATCTAGCAGGCTTGCAACAAACCCTGGGGGCTCTAGGATGCAGTTCTTGAAGTTAGGAAAGCTGTGGAAGCAAGGAGGAAGAGATGATTCTATAAAGGGCTTGGGAAAATGGGCCAGGGTCCTGAGAGAGGAGCAGAAATGGGGGTAGGGTGGTTTTGGGTGTTAGGCCTAGAATGGGGAAAGGAGGCAGTAAGAGGAATGAAGTGAGTGAGGACAGTGTTCCCCTCAGCACGGACAGCCTACATCTACTCACACTCCAGTCCCTGCACAAGCCAACCAGTCACAGGGAACTTTCATGAAGCCCTCTTCCTTTTTCTCTTCATGACCCTCCTCTAACTCTTTGTCTTTCCACCCACCCAAAGATCTATAGGTCCCTCCTCCCTGGTGCACCTATGAGGTCCTTCCCTACCCCCCACAGCACTGTTGCAACACCTCCCAACACCCTCCAGAGGCCACATGCATCCCAGCTCAGCCCCGCCTCACCTGTGCTTCGCTTCTGCTGGGACCCTTCCCAAGCTGGCTGCAGTCCCTGCTGGGCAGGCCCCACCTGGAGTCGGAGGCCTCCTTGGAGCTAAGGTCTGGGAATGAAGGGGAGTAAAGGGAATCAGTTTCAGAAAAGTGGCTGTGCATGTGCGCATGAGTGTATGTTCACTCCAGATACGTGGCACCAGAGAGACAGGGAAGTGCCAGAGCAAATCAGCTGTGCCACATGTCTGAGAATGAAATTTCGGGGTGAAGCCCTTTGTTCTGTTAAGGCCCCCACTAGTAACTCTCATGTTAGAACTCAAGCTCATGTGCTATCAGATGTGGTCAGAGCCTGACTACCACCTCACTCTGCCTGGGGCCTCCAGGAGCGAAGTCACAGAAAGTTGGTGACCAACTCTGGGTGGAACCCCAGGTCCTCTGACTCCCAATCCAGTCCTCTTTCTGTACCAAGCTAATAAATTCTCTTTTAATCCTCACCTAAGGACATGCGTAGAGAGAGGCAGGGGGGAAGAGAAACATCATTGTAAGAAACGATTGGTTGCCTTCCATACATGCCCCAACCGGGGGCTGAACCCGCAACCCAGGTATGTGCCCCAACAGGAAATTGAACCAGCAACCTTTCAATGCACAGGATGCTCAACCAACTGAGTCGCACCAGCTGGGCAGGCTAATTTAATTTTGCTTACAAATTATACGTAGGGTGTCCTAGCCTTTAAAATAAGAGAAGACATAAAACCTATTAAATAAATAGAATAAATAGTAAAGTATAATTTCAGATCCCGGGATGGGAGAAGGCAGTTTGAGAGGCATCAACCTGCTGAGAACTGCTAGAAGGTGGAGAGAGGGTGAGGAGGAGCCAGAGCAGGATCAGGGTGGAGCCCCATAGAGAAATATTGGGTGAGAACTAGAGATGGGAGAGAGCACTGCCCCCATCCTGTGGCCCTTTAGGGAACTGCAGCCAAGAACTTAAAACTCCACCTCCTCCTTGGTGTGGTTCAAGGACCTTAATTGCACCCTTTGCCCTTCACCCACTGAGTTAGTTACCACTCAGCCAAGGCCCTGGCACAACCCTAGTGCTGGACACACGCCATGACCTCCTGCCCATCTCCTACCCCCAGGTGGCCTTAGGAAAGTGATACATGTACCTTATGCTGGCCCACGGATAGATAAACACAGAAAAGCAGTCAGGCGCAGCATCCCTGAGAACATCAGCTCTGCTTACCTCTACTTCTCCCTTCTCCAGGTAACCTCTCCCCACCCCCAGCTCCTTGTCTCAGGTGTCATCTCACCAGGGTGTGAGTCGGGTCCAGACCACCCCGGGCCAAGTGGGTCCTCATGGCATCTGCCAGCTTGGCCACCAGCCGCTTTCGCACAGAATCTGGCTCCTTCTGGGGAGAGGAAGGGTAATGGGGTGATGGGGAAGGCCTGGGCTTTGTGGTTCTCTGGAAATTGGGGAAAAAAGAAATAGGAAAGGGAGGAAGGAAGGGGGCTTTGTCTTCCTTCTCTTTTGCCCCATCCCCATGCCTTTGCCAGGGTTCTGCCCAGAACTGTGGACAGAGACAAACTTCCTCACAATAGTGTCCCAGAACCTAGCACACATGTGCCCAGTGCATGTGTTTGACGAGTGAATGAGTGATGCAGAGAAGACAAGACATGAAGGCAGGACTATTGGCTGGAGAAGGCTTCCTGGAGGGCTAAGAGGAAGAGTTAGATTCTGGGATGGAGGGTCTCACCTGACACTGGGCCAGCGCTTCCTTATAGTACTTCAAGGCCTGATCATGCTGCCCCAGTCTGGCTGAAGCAGCCCCCAGGCCCTCGTAGGCCTGCCACTGTCCCTTCATGTCCCCTGGGGAAGAGAGCCTGACAGGTCCTTTA